AAAAAAAGAAAACAAAACAATACAAAAAATAGCTTCCATGTACCCAGCCCTTACTCGGACACAACATCATTTGATTCTCACTACCATCCTATGGGGCCAGTATCCTTTTCCTTATCAGCCCTGTTTTCCAGATGAAGAGACTAAGCCTCAGAGAGGGGAAAGATTGCCCCAGCATCAGCTAAGAAGAGGTTCATGATGACCGCACACTCTGGACCACTCATCAGGCAGCACTGCCTCCCATCACCATGTCAATGTACTCTCCACACTTGCTCTCCCCACACTGGCCCCTTTGCTGGATTCTCGGTGCTGCTGATCATCACAGGAACTGAGAACTCACAAGGTGAGGGCAAAGGGAGCTTCCTGAGACAAACCTAGCTAAGGTGAAGGAGAGAGTCCCAACAACCTCCCCTGGAGTTGAGGCAGGGATGGGAGGGGGCTGAGCCAGGGTCAGGATGTTCACACCCGGGCTTGGAAGGAAACTTCAGCGTTTGCATTTAGAATGTGACCCAGGTTGGTTAGGGCGAGAAACTTCCCCACCAACCCGCAAGCCAGACAGGTTCTTCCTTTTCTAATAATACTCCAAGATTCCAAAGGGCTGTGGGCTCTGGATCAAGGAGGAAAACATCTTAATGAAGAGATATGGACCAGCCTCAAGGCCCCCTTATCAGCGCCCTGGCCTGGGCCTGTTTCCTCATCAGTGAGAAAGAAAAAAGCAGCCCTGACTGCGGTCAGCACTCACAGCTAGCCATGGTGTTCTGAGCATAAATAATCTCACAGAAATGGCCAGGGCTGGGACGGGCGCAGTGGCTAACGCCTGTAATCCCAGCACTTTGGAAAGCCAAGGAGAGCAGATCATGAGATCAGGAGTTCGAGACCAGCCTAGCCAACACAGTGAAACACTGTCTCTACTAAAAATTTTAAAAATTAGCCAGGCATGGTAGGGGGTGCTTGTAATCCTAGCTACTTGGGAAGCTGAGGCAGGAGAATCGCTGGAACCCAGGAGGCAGAGGTTGGAGTGAGACAAGATCACGCCATTGCACCCAGCCTGGGTGACAGTGCAAGACTCTGTAGACAGAAAGAAAGAGAAAGAGAGAGAGAGAGAAAAGAAAGAAAGAAATGGCCAGGGACAGTGGCTCACGCCTGTAATCCCAACACTCTGGGAGGCAGAAGCAGCTGGAATGCTTGAGCCCAGGAGTCCAGGAGTTCAAGACCAGCCTCGGTAACATAGAGAGACCAAGTCTCTTAAAAAAAAAAAAAAAGCCACAAACAACAACAATAATAAAACCATCTCACAGAACACCAACATCAGATGGGGCCGCTCTGTGACTCTGTGACTGAGATGGAGTAGGACAAAACCAAGCCTCATTCCCTAATCATGTCTGAGCACAGACAAAAGCAAAGTCACTGTGCAAACCACAAAAATGATCACACATCCCCTTCGCCCAGCTAAGATGCATGACGGCTACCAGTTACTGCAACAGCCTCCATCTGTTCCTTGGCCTCCCAAAGTGCTGGGATTACAGGCGTGAGCCTCTGCGACCAGCCCCCCATCATACTTTCTTGCTGAGATGTCCCACAGCTCACCATGATGTGTGTAAAGAACCACCAAACCCAGCTTGTTTGACCACAGAGGGACTCCTGGTGGTCTCCGGCTGGAAGGCACTGATATAACTAAGACAGGAACCTTGTTAGAGCCAGTCTTGGTTTTGCCTATCAGGATCAACGTCCCTGTGTCGGGTAAGGGTGTCCCTCTCTCCTCTTTTTCAGTCTTTAAGTCTTTAGAATGGGCCTACCCCACTCCTGGCCCTGGGATAGGCAGGTCTCAGGCATGTGGCCAATTAGATCACTGCATGCCCTGGGGCCACAATGATTGGCTGAGCAATGATGGAACCCGCTGTGAGCCAATGCAAGCTCTCCTAGGACTTTTTGTGGGAACTCTTGGGAGAAAGGGGCCTGTGTCCCATTGGCTCCGCTAACCTGTTAGGAAGTACAGGTATTGATCGACTTACGACCTATGCAACTTACGACCATTCGACTTTACGACCACAATCACTAGCCACGACTGCTCCGCGTCTGGCAGCGCAAACGCTGCCCAGCTGGGCGTACGACAGTGCAGGACAATAAACATATATGCTATATCATATCATTATTAGTCATTTTCTTGCCTTTCTTACTAAAATGTGAGTGGTTTATATCCCTATATCTTTAACAATATTAGAACATACTAAGTTTAAATTATATTTGAACAAGATATCCAGATGACATCTTTTATGATGAATGCTACATATTTGTATCCCATGGAAAGTCACATAAAATTATGATGATTTACTTTTCTATTTACAATGATAATAAATAAATACCTGGCAACTAGTCCTTTTTAACCCTAAGACTTAACACAGTTCATACTCTTCTGCTTTTCCAAACTCATCATGTGCCGTGGTTTTTCACTTCAAACCGTAGACCACCGTGGTTCCGTGATCTGTGAATATTCCACGGTTTTACACAAGTCTGCGCCTTTACCACAAGTTAAGGTGACTTTTTAAAAATGAGATTTGACAAGAATGCTTTCATAATAAGCATTCAGGTCAACCTTTACTACTGGTAATGCAGTGTTTTTTTGTTTTGTTTTTTTTTTTGAGACAGAGTCTTGCTCTGTCGCCAGGCTGGAGTGCAGTGGCACAGTCTCGGCTCACTGCAACCTCCGCCTCCTGGGTTCAAGCGATTCTTTCACCTCAGCCTCCCGAGTAGCTGGGACTACAGGTGTGTGCCACCACACCCGGCTAATTTTTGTATTTTTAGTAGAGACGGGGTTTCATCATGGCGAGAATGGTCTCGATCTCTTGACCTTGTGATCCGCCCGTCTCGGCCTCCCAAAGTGCTGGGATTACAGGCGTGAGCCACCGCGCCCGGCCGGTAATGCAGTGTTTTACTTAAACCTGACGAATGTAAAAATAAGAAACAAAGTGGTGTAGAGATGATACAAACGGCATAAAATGAACAAAGAAAATTATGATATATAACAATAACGAAAGAAAATTATGATAAAATATGACTTAAAGATTTTTATAACATCATTTCACAGTACTGTACATATAGCCTACTCAACTTACGACCCAATCGTGTTACGACCAGTCTGTCGGAACCAACCGTGGTCGTAAGTCGGGCACTAGCTGTATATGTACCTGGGGCTGAATGATCCCAGATTTACATCACAAGGGGCAGGACTGCACGACAGTGACACCAACACAGAGACTAGAGATGGAGAGAGATGAGAGAGATGGAGTCTTTTGTTTTGAGAAGCAGTCTCTGTCGCCCAGGCTGGAGTGTGCAGTGGTGTGGTCTCGGCTTACTGCAACCTCTGCCTCCTGGGTTCAAGCAATCCTCCCAGCTCAGCCTCCCGAGTAGCTAGGATTACAGGTGTGCACCACCACACCCGGCTAATTTTTTTTTTTTTTTTTACTTTTAGGAGAAACGGGGTTTCACCACGTTGGTCAGGCTGGTCTCGAATGCCTGACCTCAAGCCATCGGCCCACTTCGGTTTTCCAAAGTGTTAGGATTACAGGTGTGAGCCACTGCGCCTGGCCTGAGTCTTTTTTTTCCCTTTCTTTTTTGACACAGAGATGGGGATCTCGCTATGTTGCCCAAACTTCTGGCTTCAAGCAATCCTCCCACCTCGGCCTGCCAAAGTTCTGGAATTACAGACACGAGACACCATGCCTGGCCTCAGATGGAGTCCTAAAAGCACCCTTGAACCATACCTGGATCCAGCCATGCCTGAAGTAAAACCCACCCTTCCCCAGGCAGTCCTTTTTTGTGACAGGGTCTCACTCGGTTTGCCCGGGCTGGAGTGTGGTAGCACAATCTTGGCTCACTGTAGCCTTGACTTCCCAGGCTCACGCGATTCTCTCACCTCAGCCTCTGGAGTAGCTGGGACTACAGGCGCACACCACCATGCCTAGCTAATTTTTTGTGTTTTTGGTAGAGACGGGTTTCGCCATGTTGCTGGGCTTCCCTGATCATTTTGGTTACCTTAGCCGACCCACTCTCTTTTCACCTTAAGCCATTTGAACTGAATTTCTACCACTTGCTGCTAAACAGGCCCTGACTATACATTACTTAGCACAGGGTTGCTTTATTTATTTATTTATTTATTTATTTTTATAGAGATGAGGTTTCTCTATGTTGGTCAGACTGGTCTTAAACTCCTGATATCTGGTGATCCGCCCGCCTCGGCCTCTCAAGTGAGCCACCATGCCTGGCCTGCTTTTTTTGTTTGTTTGTTTTTTGTTTTTTGAGACAGAGGCTCACTCTTTCGCCAGACGTGAGGCTGGAGTGCAGTGGCGTGATCTCGGCTCACTGCAACCTCCGCCTCCCGGCTTCAAGCGATTCTCCTGCCTCAGCCTCCTGAGTAGTGGCTGGGACTACAGGCGCGTACCACCACGCCCAGCTAATTTTTGTATTTTAGTAGAGACCAGGTTTCACTACGTTGGCCAAGATGGTCTTGATCTCTTGACCTCACGATCTGCCCACCTCGGCCTCCCAAAGTGCTGGGATTACAGGCATGAGCCACCGCGCCCGGCCACTTTTTTTGTTTTTTAAGAGACAAGGTCTCACTGTGTCACCCAGGCTGGAGTGCAGTGGCATGATCATGGCTCACTGAAGCCTCCAATTCCTGTCCTCAAATGATCCTCCTGCGTCAGACTCCAAGTAGCTAGCACTACAGGCATGTATCACCATGCCCGGCTAATTTTTTTTTTTTTTTTTTTTTGACAGAGATGAGGTCTTTCTATGTTGTCCAGGATGGTCTTGAATTCCTGGGCTCAAGCAATCCTCCTACCTCTGCCTCTGCCTCCCAAAGTGCTGGAATTATAGGCATGAACCACTGTGCCCAGCCCACACAGGTCTTTTTAAGTGGTATTCATTGAGATCAGTCTGTGAAGGCCTTGGCACACAACAAGTGCTCAATAAACATGAGTTATTACTACAGAATCTAAAGCAGGAAGAGGAGGAGTGGTCCATCTTGCCACTCAGGGCACTAATTCTCCCCAACTTCTGTTAAGTCCCCAAAGAAATGCCTTTATCCAGCTACAGTGGATGACATAGGTTAGTATCTCTCAAAACGCATTAGCCATCAGCTTTCTTGGTGCAGCTCTGGTGTACAGATAGTGAAATGGCCCACGGTAGAGGTAGGAGGGCTAGACTATGCAAAATACATGATTTTCCTGCTGGGGAACACAGAGAAACCAGGAATCTCTATCACAATCCAACATTTGATGACCTGAGGCCTTTCTGTCACTTATACCAGTCTAGCTATAACATTCGAGGCTCATTTCAATTTCAGAGATTCTATACTTAATGCTTTAAAATAATTTTCCTGAAATTTCCAGAACCATCTTAAGGGTTCTAGGCCAAAAAGGAATAAAAGAGAACTGCTAAAGAAAATTCAAGTAAAGGATTTCCTTGATACTGCATTAAAATAACATATACGTTAGAAAGAGAACATGAAGACAAAAATTACCAGTCAAGTCTGAGGAGTCATGACTTCCCTAATGGAATGTGATCCTAGGCTCTGCTTAGATGCCTCCAAGGGCAGGGAGCTCACTCTTTTCTTCTGGCTCTCAGGAGTCACTCTTGCCTCTTGCCTCTATCAGCACCAGTTCCGAAAGTCTCCGCCCCCAACCCCAGCCCCAGCCCCAGCCCAAGACTCACCCTGCAGCTGGGAGAAGCGCAGGGCAGCGGCATTGAGGCCCTCCACCCGCTCGCTCTGGGCTGCAATGTCCCCCTCCAGCAGTCCATGCTTCTGCAACAGGTCGTCCGCCTCCACCAGGTGCTGCCCACACTCCCGGGACAGCAGCTGAGCCTGCAAGCGGGGACAGCACTGAGCATACCTCTGGCCCCGCCCTGGGCCGCCCGCCCCTCCCCCATCGCTGTGCTAGCCGCTGCTGCTCTGCACCACCACTCCCGACTCTGACCCACCTCAAGACCTTCTTATCGGCTCTGTGGCCTGGGCCTCAGTTTCCTCATCAGAAAGAAGAAAGCGGAGCCCCCAACTGCTATCGGCACTCACAGCCAGCCATGGTGTTCTGTCTCTGTCTTCTCCTCTCTCTACCTGTCTCTCTCTGAATGTTTCCATCTCTCATGGACTCCACGTTTCTGAGCTCTGCCTCCACCTCCTTCTCTTTGTCTGCATCTCCCGTTCAGCTTCCAGCTTGCCTGCCTGCCTTCTTTTCTTTCTCTCTCTTTCTTTCTTTCTTTCTCTTTCTTTCTCTCTCTCTCTCTTCTTTTCTTTCTTTCCTTCTTTCTTTCTTCTTTCTTTCTTCTTTTCTTTTCCTTTCTCTCTCTCTCTCTCTCTCTCCCTTCCTCCCTCCCTCCCTCTCTCCTCTCTCTCTCTGTCTCTCTTCCTTCTTGACAAAGTCTCACTCTGTCACCCAGATTGTGGTGTATAGGCATGATCTCAGCTCACTGCAACCTCCGCCTCCTGGGTTCAAGCGATTCTACTGTCTCAGCCTCCTGAGTAGCTGGCATTACAGGCACCTGCCACCATGCCCGGCTAATTTTTGTATTTTTTAGTAGAGATGGGGTTTTGCCATGTTGGCCAGGCTGGTCTCGAACTCCTGACTTCAGGGGATCCACCCGCCTTGGTCTCCCAAAGTGCTGGGATTACAGGCGTGAGCCACTGTGCCCAGCTGCTTCTTTTCTTCTTCTTCTTCTTTTTTTTTTTTTTTCTTTTGAGACAGGGTCTTGCTCTGTCACCCAAAGTGCAGTGGTGCAATCATGGCTCACTGCAGCCTCAACCTCCTGGGCTCAGGCAATCCTCCCACTACAGAGTAGCTGGGACTACAAGCACATGTCACCATGCATAGCTAACTTTTTAATTTTTTGTACAAACAATATCTCATTATGTTGACCAGGCTGGTCTCAAATCCTGGGCCCAAGCAGTCTGCCCGCCTTGGCCTCCCGAGCCACCATGCCCAGTTGGCTTCTATCTTCCTTGTTTCATCTCTCTCTCAAATTGATTCCATCTTCCTGTGTCTTTCTCTGGAGCCATGTAGATTTCGATTGTCAGCTTTGTGTCTGCCTCCCTCTCTCTGTCTCTGATTTCTCTTCCTCTCTGTCTGCACCCCTGGCTTACTCTGTCTCTATATCTCTATGTCTTTTTCCATTTCTCTCTCTCTTTTTTTTTAGACAGTCACACTCTGTCACCCAGGCTGAAGCACAGTGGCACCATCTCAGCTCACTACAGCCTCTGCCTCTTGAGTTCAAGTGATTCTCGAGCCTCAGACTCCCAAATAGCTGGGACTACAGGCACGCGCCACCAAGCCCGGCTAATTTTTTTGTATTTTTAGTAGAGACGGGGTTTCACCATGTTGGCCAGGCTGGTCTCAAACTCCTGACCTCAAGTGATCTACCCGCCTTGGCCTCCCAAAGTGCCGGGATTCCAGATGTGAGCCACCGCGCCCAGCATTTTTCTGTCTCTCTATTCGTCTCTGTCTCTTTCTCATTCTTTGTTTCTTTCTCTGCCTCTCTTGTCCATCTCCGCATCTCACTCTCTCTCATTCTCTTTTTGTCTCCCTGGCTTTCTCTTTATCTTTTTCTATCTCTGCCCTTCCCTCTCCATCTCCAGCTCTCCATCAACTCTTTCAGCATGTGCATCTCCCTCCCTCCTGGCACTCCACCCGCATCCGCACCCCCGCCTGGCACCTGCATCTCCTCCATCCAGTCCACCATGTACACCATCTCCTGGAAGACCTTCTGCAGGGCCAGGTTCTGCTCGAGCCGTGTCCGCCGGGCACCCACAAGCCCAGTTAGCAGGGCCCACTGGCGCAAGACGCTGTCACGCTGGGCTGCCACCCGCCGGATGTCATAGTAGCCTTCAGCCGCCAACGCCTGGGCCAGCTCCGCCACGCCCTGCACCCGCTCCTCGTAGGCTGCAATGTCCGCCTCAATCGCTTCGTGTTTCTTCATGGCTGCCTCCACTGCAGGCAGCTCATACCCAAAGTTGTCCTGGGTAGTGCAGGCCAGACACTCACCCACGCTGCCTCAGCAGTCTGCCTGTTACCTTGACCCTGTGTGACCCTGGGGACTTCCCCCTCCATTACCGTGGCGACCAGCCCGGCACTCCCTAGTTATCCTGGAGACCAGCCCCAACCTCCTCTGTTACCCAGGTAACCTGGAGACCAGCCCCACCCTCCATTGTTACCTTGGAGACAAGCCCCGCCCTCCCCTGTTACCCAGGAGACCAGCTCCACCCTTCCCAGTTACTCTGGAGACCAACCTTCCCCTCCCCTGTTGCCCTGGAGACAAGCCCATCTTGCACATTTACCCTGGAGACCAGCTCCATCCTCCCCTGTTGCCCTGGAGACTAGTACCACCCTGCAGAGTTACCCTGGAGACCAACCCCACCCTCCCCTGTTGCCCTGGAGACCAGCCCCATCCTCCTCTGTTGCCCTGGAGACTAATGCCACCCTCCAGAGTTACTCTGGAGACCAATCCCACCCTCCCCTGTTGCCCTGGAGACGAGCCCATCTTCCAAAGTTGCCCTGGAGACTAGACCCACCCTTCCCATTTCCCTGGAGACCAGCCCATCTTCCGAAGTTACCCTGGAGACCACACCCACCCTCCCCGTTTCCCTGGAGACCAGCCCATCTTCCAAAGTTACCCTGGAGACCAGACCCACCCTCCCCATTTCCCTGGAGACCAGCCCATCTTCCAAAGTTACCCTAGAGACCAGACCCACCCTCCCCATTGCCCTAGAGACCAAGCCCACATTCCCCTGTTTCCCTGGAGACCAGCCCCACACTCTTCAGTTACCCTGGAAACAAGACCCACTCTCCTGTTACATCTCTAACCTTAAACTTGTTACCCAGGAAAGAGGCCCATGCTTTCCCTGTCCTGGAGATGAGGGACCAGGTTTACCCGACTCTGTCACTTAGGAAACCAATTCTATCGTCCTGAGTTACCCTAGACACCAGATACAACCTCCCTTGTCACTTAAGAATCTAGCTAAACACTCCCCCTATTTCTGAAGACACGAATTCTGCCCTCTCCAGTTACCCTGGGGAGCAGCCTCACTCTCCCAATCAATCACTTAGAAAACCAAGCCTCCCTTTCCCTCATTTTTTTTTTTTTTTTATGGAATCTCGCTCTATTGCCCAGGCTGGAGTGCAGTGGCTCGATCTGGGCTCACTGTAACCTCCGCCTCCCAGGTTCAAGTGATTCTCCTGCCTTAGCCTCCTGAGTAGCTGGGATTACAGGTTTGTGCCACAATGTCCAGCTAATTTTTGTATTTTTAGTAGAGACAGTGTTTCACCATGTTGGTCAGGCTGGTCTCAAACTCCTGACCTCATGATCTGCACGCCTTGGCCTCCCAAAGTGCTGGGATTACAGGTGTGA